TGCACCTGGAAGCCATCTGCACCTGGAAGCCATCTGCACCTGGAAGCTGCTTCCTTTGAGGGTGGTGAGCATTGGTCCTTGGAATGGGATAAGTGGTTCCATTTTTATTTTAGGGTTATGTCCTCCCTTTTGGGGGTTTCCTAACCTCTTTTAAGGGCTGGTAGCTGTAAGGGCAGCACCTGAACCTGGAGACTGCTTCCTTTGGGGTGTGGGGTGAGCCTTAGAATGGGGTGAGCAATTCTTGCTTTATTTCAGAGCTGTGAGCTCTGCCTTTCTGGGAGATCTCAAGCTGGGTCAGAGCAGCTGTATCTGCTATGTGGATCGTTTCTTTTTCAGTGGTTCTCATCTCTTAACTTCCAGTCTGGGGCTCTAAATGTGGTTCATCTGCTCCCACATCATTCCACTTCATGGCCATAATTCACAGTGCCATCTGTTAACTGCATCCGTGCAGAGTGTTTTAAGGGCATTCTGTGCATCATTATCATGTACTAAATTATGTTCTGTATCTTTTCTGACTTCATTTTGCAACCTGATGGGGTTCAAGGATTGCCTGGGCTCCTCCAATCAGTGATGTTAGGTCAGTGCAGCAGGTAATGAACACCATGAGCCCCATGTTGGTGCACTGCTTGTGTGCAGGTCGGTTTGTGATGCAGTCCAGCTCCCCCACCGTGATCACCCAGCTGGATCAGGCTGCTCAGAACCTGACCCAGCCTCACCTTGAAAGGGGCAGCACATCCACCACATCTCTGGCAACCTGTTCCACTGCCTCGCTGTGGAAGACATTTTCCTTATTTCTAGCCTCAATTTTCCCTTGTTCTGTCCTTTAGGTATTGAAAGGCTGTTACCAGGTCACCTTGGAGCCTTCACTTCTCCAAGCTGAGCAGCCCAGCTCTCCCTTCTTGCAGGAGAGGTGTTCCGTCCTTTAGCTCATACTTGTGGCTGTGCTCTGGATGCGCTCCCACAGCTCCATGTCTCCCTGCACTGAGGACTCCACATCGGGACGCAGCACTGCAGGTGAGGCCTCAGCAGCGCAGAGCAGAGGGGCGGGGATCGCCTCCCTTCGCTGCTGACCACAGATGGATGCAGCCCAGGACACGGTTGGCTTTCTGGGCTGGAAGGGCCCATTGCTGGCTCCAGCTGACACCAGTGCCCCCAGGCCTTATGGGGCAGGACTGCGCTCAGTCCTTTCATCCCCAGCACGTTCTGGGCTGCATTAAAAGAGGAGCAGCCAGCAGGGGCATGGAGGTGATCGTCCCCCTCTACTCTGCTCTTGTGAGGCCCCATCTGCAGCGCTGCATCCAGGCCTGGGGCTCCAGCACAGGAATGATGTGGAGCTTTTGGACGGGTCCAGAGGAGGGCCACTAAGTTGATCAGAGGGCTGGAGCAGCTCTCCGGTGAAGAAAGGCTGAGGAAACTGGGGTTGTTTCTCTTGGAGAAGAGAAAGCTCTGGAGAGACCTCAACACAGCTTTCCAATACTTGAAGGAAGCGCATAAGCGGGGGGGAGCAGCTGTTTATGAGGGTGGATGGTGACAGGACAAGGGGAATGGTTTT